CAAGCGGTGGAGCGACATGGAGAGACCATTCGCGTCCGGGATACTGTCCTCCTCAAGTCAGGCCCACGAAAGACGTCTACACCTTACGTGGCCAAGATCTCTGCCCTCTGGGAGAATCCTGAATCAGGTACCCCCCCTTCCTGGAGTTTGACCTGGCACTCGTCTCCCCGTGTTTTGGGCACAGTTTGCCTTCCACTCATCCGGGGTCTGTCTGCTACCGAGGGCTACAGACAGACAGCCTTGTCGCTTAGGTTGCATCAGCTCATTAACCTTTCCAGCCACCAGAACTTGGGCACCTTCCCCCCTTCCTCACCTGTCATTGCTTCCCCCCCCTTCTCCCTTCATACCTAATGGCATTCCAGGCTTCTGAATGCCAGGCTTGGCTTGAGGCAGAGGCTCAGCACTGGCCCAGCACTGAAGTTGGATGAGCCTCCAGGGCAAGTGGCCAGCCTGCCTGCCGAAATAACTCTGGGGTTGCCAGCTCAAGCCTTGACTGCTTCTCTTGTACCCCCAGGAGAGCTGATGATGAGCCTCCTGTGGTATTACAGACCAGAGCACTTACAGGGAGGCCGCAGTCCCAGCATGCACGAGGTGAGTTACCAGGCAAATGGAATGGGGCAGGCAGGGTTTGGCAGAAGGAGATGTTGTAGCATAAGGAGGTGATACTGGGTGGACAGCCATGGGTAGTCAAGTCCCTAGACTTGTTACCTTGGATACCAGAGAACTTGGGGAAGGGCCTGGGTTTCAGCCTCTTTTCCCCAATTCATGTTTCAAAGGGTTAGGGGAAGTGGAGTGGCACACCTAGCCCCTTTGATGCTGTCTGCAGCATGAGAGGGAGGGGGAGAAAGACTGCTCCTAACATTCCTTAGCACCATACCCAGTGGTGTGCTAGAAGTGGTAATGCCCTCTGGCTGTGGTTCCTGCCGCCCCTGCCACCCCCCACCCCCTGAGCCTGCTTCCACTCTGTCCCTCTGGCACTTTTTGGGAAGATGCACACTGACTCCCCCTCCTCCCCTGGCTGGGGGTTAGGGATCTTAATGAGGGGCTGGAGGGGGTACCTGGGTTCTCCAGGTGCTCCCTCAAAATCTGGGAGGAATGCCTTGGGGTTCCAGGTGAGGAGATGTTAGGCCCACATTCCAGGGAAGCTCCCCGGCTTTCTGGGCACTAGCTGGAGTGATCTCAGGTCAGGAGTCTCAGCAGAGGGGTTGGCGTTAATGTCCACTTTTTCCCTGGAATTAAGTGCTTCCAACCCCGGTAACTGATCTCCTCTCTCCCCTTGAGCCTTTGCAGAATGAAGTCTTTGCATCGAGACATCAGGACCAGAACAGTGTGGCATGCATCGAGGAAAAGTGCTATGTGCTGACCTTTGCAGAGTACTGCAGGTGCGTGGTGGCCTGTGTCTCTGGCTAGCCTCTCCCCTCAGACTCTTCAGCGCTATTTGGGGGCTGCCTGTAATCTCACTGGGCCTGACCTCCCAGAAGGTTCTTCTTTACAGCCTGCTTCTGCCATCTAATATTTTTAGAAGAAAAAAATAATTGTTGCTTGTCTGAGGCACAGTGGTTGGACAGAATTGGGGGTAGTTACAGTACGGCTCTCAGAAAATACCAAGGAGAATTGGCAGGTGGTCATGAGGGAGGCCTTGGCAGGTGTGTTTCCCCAGTGACAGACTGGCAATTGACAGAGAGGGTGTAGCCCCTAGGACAGGTGAGGCAGGACCAGCCTAAGTGGGGGTCGAAGGCTACTTTTCAACTCTCTGAGCAGGGAAGGGAAGGTCTTTCTGCAAAGGTGGCTTTGATAAAGGTGAATGATGTGTCACTGCAGATTCTGTGCCATGGCCAAGCGCAGAGGCGAGGGTCTACCCAGCCGAAAGACAGCACTGGTGCCCCCCTCTGCAGACTACTCCACTCCGCCACACCGCACAGTACCCGAGGACACGGACCCTGAGCTGGTGTTTCTTTGCCGCCACGTCTATGACTTCCGCCATGGCCGCATCCTCAAAAACCCCCAGTAGCCTCCTCCTGCCCATGGGCAAGTGGGGCTCGGGCGAGGGGGCATTGCTTGAAGCACAGCACTTGGTTAAGGGGCCACAGGGACCCGAGGTTGCTGGCCTGTGGTTCTCTTGGGGGGAGGGCAAGGGCCCCTGTGGGTTCCGGGTCTTATGGGAGGGAAGGGATATAAGAAAAGCATCAGAGCCCACAGCTTGGTCCAGCTACCTCTCTGTGGTCCCTGGGCAGAGACTCCTGAAGAAGGCAGTCTTCCCTGAGCCTGGGCCAGGCTTGAGGGGCATGGGACCCTGGGGGGAGGAGGAAGTCCTTCAGGAACCAGGCCCAACAGGCCATTCTTTATCCTCCTCTGGGCCCTTCAAGGGATAGTGGGAGCCAGCTTTACCTCACCCACTGTGACCTGCTGCTTCCCCATCAGCCTGGGACCAGCCTCTTTCAGATTCTAGTACTGCTCCCAGCTCATTCCTTTGAGGCATAGAGAGCCAGAGTCTGGCTTCCAGAGCATTGACTTCCTCTTCCTGGATTCAGGGCCTTTCCCTGGCTTTCCTCCTTTGCCCCTGCAATAGCCCCTGGTGCTGGGACAAGTTACCTGGCCCTCAGAGTCATGGGTGTCAGCTTCCTGTTTGCCACCCAGCAGGTCTGGCTTCCCTGAAGTTAACTGATCAACATGGGGTTTTTCATGTCTGGGAGGGCAAAAGGGAGCTAGGAGGGGGTGGGGGATAGGGGGCAAGGAAAATTGCTACCTGATTTATTGAAGACTTTTCCTCATGCCTTACACTTGGAGGTTCTAGGAAACCTCTTGCAGAACTTCACACATGACTCTTCAAGCTACACCCACCTGAAATCAAACCTGCCTTTATTACAATATGTTGTCATGAGTCCATTTGTGTTGTCCCACAGCATAGCAGATCCGGCCCCAGGGACAGCCCCATAAGGCAGCAAGCAGGGCTGGGACCCCAGAATCTGGTAAGGCATGAGGTGGAACTGGGCTGAGAGGTGGTTTTGGGCCTGGGGAAGGCTGTTCTCTCTGGCCCAGCTGCAGCCCACAGTCTAGGTGAGGGTTCAGAATGGCCTGGAACTCCTGAGCCTTATCGCCAGGCGGTGAGCCCAGTGGAGTGGAAGCTGTCAGTGTGCTGTTGGGCCAAGAATGTCAGGAGCAGCAGCATTGCAGCCTTGGTGTCTGGTGGGATCTTGTCATCAGCCTGAATGAGGCTACAGATGTCCAGGAGCCACATCTACAACCTGGTCAGGGCTGCTCTGGTATAGGAAGCTGAAGCGGTGCCCTATGGTGACCCACTCCTCTAAGTCCTCCTTCAGTGGCAGGGCGTGCAGCAGGACAGCCAGCACGTGGGGCTCTGGCTTTCTTGTGGGACTGGCCATCAGTAGATGGGTGAGTGCCCCACAGATAAGATAACATGGACACGATTGCAATGCTCCCGTGCCAGGAGGGTCAACAGGAGGCCCACCAGCTTGGGGAAGTATTCCTGGGCAGGGCAGCCCCTGTGATCAGCCAGCACACCCAGCCCGAAGATGGCATTGCTCTACACTTTGGAGTCTGCCTCCCAGGCAGCGCTCAGCAGGATGGGGAACAGGTGGGACACAAACTGGTCTGAGGCAGCACCCAGGCCCTTAATAGACTTCCCACTGCAAAGGACTTACCTGCCATTGTGCAGCCCCGTTTCGTCTTGCAGAGCAATAATGGCAAAGACCCAGCAAAGAAGGGGGCGAAAGCGTCTTCCCCAGCCGCAGCAGCCAGGGCAGGAATGGCCTCACCAGCGTCCTCTATAGCGACGGCGTTGTTTTCAGCCTGGTCCTCGTCCTCATCAGTGCCCGACAGGCTGTCTTCCTCTGCGGCATGGCCTTGAGCATGTTGCAGAGCTCACTGAAGCGCCCAGGGCGCTGCAATGTGAGGGTCCCAGAGCTGCGCAGCACCCATCAGGGCCTCCAGCACAGCCATCAGCACTGTCACCATTTGGCATTCCCACTTCCCGTATACTGCCTGCGTGTAGGACAGTACCACCTCGGCCAGGGTGGCCTGCAGAGCAGCAGTGTTGGGTTCTAAGGGGCAGCTTTGACAGGCCTTGTGCAGTGCACAGCAGAACTGACCCAGAGCCTCATGGGCTGCCTTGCACACTCAGGTGAGGGCTTCAGAGCTTTGAATACTTCTTCAAAGATACTCTCCATGTAGGGAAGGGAGGCCACACTGGTGTTCCCCTTGCCCTGCCACCCCTCACCCTAGTCTTTTGTAGATTGCACTAATTTACATCCCAGTGAAAAAACAACACTGAATCAGTCCGCAGACCTGCTGAGCTGCAGCCACTCACTCTAGGAACTAAAGACCCCATTTTGTTGTTGCCCAGGGGCCCTGTTCTCAGACTGCTCCCCAGAGTAGATTAGGAGACTCAGCCCCCTGTTGTCATTTCCAGAGCTCAGCCCTACCATGAAGTTCTCTGTGGGAGGGCTGGAGCAGCCTGGTTCTTCCCTGTTTGTACCAAAGAGGAGCATGTGGGGAGGGAGAAGAGCCCTGTGTGGCTTGGGCCTGGTGCTGGGAGCCTGCTTGTGAGCACATCCCTGGGGGCAGGAGACAAGGAGGGCAGCACTGGGTCCTTTACCCCCACATGGGCAGACACGAACCCAGCAGGCTGAGTAGGTGGCATTGGGGGGTAGAGTGGGTCAGGCCAGGTCTGGAGGAGATGGAAGTGAATCCTGAGGGCACTCCAGCAGCCCTGACCCTATGCTCTTCCTGAGAAAACGGCTGCTCCTGCTTGGTCATTGAGGTGGGGGAGGCCTGGATGTTTGAGGTGAATTTACACAGGGAAGGCCCAATCCCAAGCCTGAAGCGAAGGGACTCGGGTTCCCTTGAATGGAATAAGCTGTTTGGAGGAAGGCATCGGTCTAGGAGGGCTGTGCAGTGAGCGGTTGGCAGAGTAGGGGCTCTGAAGAGCCAGTCTTGGAGCCTGCTGATTCCCAGGGTGCTGGGCCCTTGCCACCTAGGAGCCTAGCCCCACCCAGCAGGAGAAATCAAGGCCCTTCCTCCCAAGGTCTGCTACCCAGAACTTAAATGCTTTTGAAATCTCTTAGATGTGGAAATATTTTTTCGAACCTGAAAATGCAGCTGGTAGAATTTCAATGGAGCATAATTCATGTAAAATATATTTTAGTTGATAATTTTGTAAAATGCACTTTTTGTGTGTGTCGACCCTGGTTTCTCAGATCTGTATTTCAGTGTTTACAAGGGAGAGGGGATCTTTCCTCACCTCCCTTTGACAGAGATTAGAAGTACTTCTTTAAGAAAAATAAATTTGAGAAATTGTATTGATTTAGAAAAGGATCATTTTCTGTGTGTCCTGTCATCTTTTCGAGTGTGGGTGCAGGGGCGCTCATTCATTGTTTTGGGGGTCCCTTTTAACCCTTGCAGTGCAGGGGCTTAGAGATCAAGAAAGTGGAGGGAGGAGAGGAGACGGAATGAGAGTTAACTTGTGAGCACCGTGGTGGCCAGAGCCACCTCCTTGGACTGAAATCTTTGTGTTGCCAGCCCTCATCAGGTTGGTGACCTGGGAACTGGTCAGTGAAGATAGATAGCACCTCATCACCTCAGGCCATTCCCTTGGGAAGCTGGCCTGCAGGAATTGGGCTAGAGCCCCGATACCTAGGTACTGGTACTCGGCTGAGGGAATGATGGTTCATCCTATGTGCTCATATTGTTAGGATTGGGGGGCAACCAAGAGACTTCTAGCTTCATTTCATCCCTCAACCCCTCATCCTTCTGAATTCATCTGATCAATGGTAGTGCCATTCTCCCACTACACTCAAAGCCTCTGGCCTCTACTGATCCATCACCCACCCCCTCAGTACAGTGTGTTCTGGGTCAGCTACTTCCTCCTTCCCAACCATTCTACTTTTGTACTCCATCTCTGAAGCATGGAATTCAGGTTTTAGAATCAGGCCCATCCATAGTCTCAGCTTCCTGGAGCCTGTTTCTTCAGCTGCACAGTGGGAAATGCCCATGATATCTCACTCCCAGGGTGACTGTGACAAATGAAGGAGAGAATACAAAGACCTGCCTCAAGAAGTGTGGATTCTCAACAGCACTACTGTGCTTCAGAGCTCCCTGGCTCTCCACACATGACAGGGTGAAGTCTGGGTACTTAGCAAAGAATCCAGTTCAGGTGGGGAAAGGCTGGCCACTGACATCCAAGGCGTTCCCCCATCAGCCTCTAGCCCAGGTGGCCAACCTGGTGCCTTTGAGCATGTGTTTGGCTCCAGGCGAGGAAGCTCTGTCCCTGCAGCTGCTCACCCTTCAAAATGTGTGCTGACCACATCCTTGGTCAGAAGGCACCAACTTGTCATTGGCTCCTCAGTAGTTATCCCACCTCTTCATGCCTGGGGGAGGGATATTCAGCATTACAGTGGATAAACACTAATCGGCCAGGTAGTTAAATTTAAGGGTCCCCATGGAGAGGAGCCCCTGGTCAGTGGAGTGGCCAGGACAGGGGGAGTACACTGGGGGCCCTGCTCCAGGCTAGAAACGGGCCTCTCAATAGTTTGGACTCGAGTGCTGGGAGGGGGTGGGGGCTCCTCCAGCTGTTAGAAGGGAAGGGCTCAGCCGGGCCAGCGTGTGTGGCGGGGTGTAGAGTGCAGGTCCTCTCCGTCCAGCTCCCTGGAGGCACTCGCCGGGGCCTGGATCTTTTTGGCCTTCGGGACCTCGTCAGTTTTTGCCTCCAAACCCGGAGGACTAGAGTGGCCCTGAATTAGGCGCAGGTAGGGGTCTGCTCGCGCACGCCCAGCCCGCT